AGATTAAGATAAAAGTTAATCTTTAATCGTCTTGAATGACAACTAGTTGTTTCTCTTCCATATTCTTCTATGTCTTTGTGATTCATTTTTGCAGGGGAGTTTCTTTTTGCTATAGGCTTCTGGGCTATTTTCTAAGGGAAAGACAGCATTTTGGAATAGCATGCTTAGGTGGAATGGAGCACGTGGGCAATTTGCTTGCTGAACAGTTGACTTTGAGTAAACAACAACAACAACAACAACAATAAAGAAACAGAATTGATATGAGGGACATCTTGAAGTAAAAAGACATTTTTATGATAGCTCAAACAAAACTAAGCTAAATGAAAAAGCCAGTTAAATATTTAATATTGCAATTAAATATTTTCTCCTCATAGCATTATTGAGATTTAATTCCTATACCATAAAATTCACTTTAAAAGAGTATAAGTCAATGCAATTAGATAGTTGCAACCATCACAACTATCCAATTTCAGAACATTTTCATATCTCCAAACAGGAACCTCATACCTGTTATCAGTTACTCAGCATTTCCCCCTTAGCTCTGGCAACCACTAATCTATTTTCTGTTTCTATAGATTTTCTTATCTAGACCTTTTATATAAATAAAACCATATAATATTTGTTTTTTTGTGACTGGCTTTTTCTTTCTTTCTTTTTCTTTCCTTTTTTTTTAAAGTGAAGTTTTGAAATCTTTTTTTTTAAAATATATTTTTATTGATTTTGTACAGAGAGGAAGGGAGAGAGATAGAGAGCTAGAAACATCGATGAGAGAGAGTCATCAATCAGCTGCCTCTTGCTATTATATTTTCCTGGAATCCAGGAAATAGGTTACTGAAATAGAGTCTACTGAAAATAGGTAGAGGCAGCTGATTGATGACTAGAGTCTACTGGGGATATGCCCGCAACCAAGGTACATGCCCTTGACCGGAATCAAACCCGGGACCTCTCAGTCCCCAAGCCGACACTCTATCCATTGAGCCAAACCGGTTTCGGCATGTAACTGGCTTTTTCATTTAGCTTAGTTTCAGAGTTCATCAACAGTAGTATGTTTCAGTACTTCTTCCCTTTTAATTGCCAAATAATATTCAATTATATGCATATGCTACATTTTGTTTATTTATTCATCAGTTCATAAATAATTGATTCCACCCCTTTTTGGTAATTATGAATAATGCTGTTATAAATTTGCATGTACATTTTTATATGGACAAATATTTTCATTAATCTTGAGTATATACTTAGGGGTTAAATTTCTGGGTTGTATGGTAACTCTATGTTTAACCTTTGAGAAAATCCCAGACTGTTTTCCAAAGCAGCAGCAACATTTATATTTCTGTCAATGGTGTATGAGGGTTCCAGTTTCTCCACATCTTCTTCCACACTTGTTATTATCTATCTGACTTTTTATTTTATTTTATTATCATAGTCATCCTAGTGGGTATGAAGTGGTATTTCATTGTAGTTGATTCTGCAGTTGAATCTGCTCTGATTGACCTGACTTAGTCACATGTCCATCCTTTAGCTAACTACTCTGGCTAGTGGAGACTGGTAATCTTAAATGAATCTGAGGGAACTCCTGGAGCTAGGGGTGGGTCTCAGTCACTCCCAAACTACAGAGGAAAATTTGAAAGCAAGGAGAAATGGATTCCTGGGAGCCAACTAACACATGTTTTATACAAGATGGGTTTATTTGCTTGGTTTCAGTGTTGGAATTGTCCTGTATTCAAGGATCATAGTGATGCAGAGTAGGAAGGAAAGAACATCTTGGTGAGGACTCAGGCAGAGAAGGAACCCAGGAAATAGGTTACTGAAATAGAGTCTACTGAAAATAGGTTTCCCCCTGAAGACTCTAGTCACCGGCACGTAGTGCTTGCCGGCTTGTATTTGTTGCTGTACTAGAGGCCCGATGCACGGATTCACGCACTGGTTTGGTCTCTCGGCCTGGCCTGTGTCCTCTCACAATCTGGGACCCCTCGGGGGATGTTGGACTGCTGGTTTCGGCCTGATCCCTGCAGGCCAGGCTGAGGGACCCCGCTGGTGCACGATTCCATGTGTTGAGTGTCTGTCCCCTGGTGGTCAGTGCACATCATAGCTACCAGTCGAACAATCGCTTAGGCTTTTATATATATAGGTGCTTTTCATTTTCTTTTCCTGGTCAAACTATCATCAGGTTCAGTACCCCTGAGTGCTCCGCTGCCACATGCTGAGTCACAGAATGCTGAGGACCTCATTACAATTGTTTTAGGATCTATGCTTGATTACCCAAGTCTAAATAGCTGTGCTAGTATTGCTATTTCCCATCACCCCCTCAAGGAATAACTTTCTTTTGTATATTTTTGAGATTTGGTAAGCTTTTCTGATTACCATGGCTTTTTGAAAGGAGACAAAGGATTTGATTGTACTTTAGAAAGGAAGGAGTGTAAGGACAACTTTTTGGTTATCTTCTTGGTCCTGAAAAATAATGGGGAATTTCAGGTCTAGGTAGACACTAAGAGGCATTTGTGGGAAGCATAACTTGCCCTTTTTTAGCTGTTCTTTGACATGGGATCCTATTTCTTTTCTTTCTCCCTTTTCTCCTTTTCACATTGATAGTAATATCTGTCATTGAGGTTTCTCTGGCTACAGCTGCTGTGTAACAAATATCCTCCCACTTCCTCAAAAAATAGATCTTAAAACAACCATTTTGTGCCACACTTAAAAAAGCTAAAGAAATTTGACAACCAATGCAAGGTTTGACTCTAGACTGGATCCCATTCTAAAGCATATTATTGTGCCAACTGACAAAACTGGAAGAATATAAGGGTTAGATTATACAAATGTTTTCATATGAATATTAAATGTGCTAAAGTTGATAAATGTACTGTGGTTGTGTAAAATAATATCCCTATTCTTTGGATATACACACTGAAGCACTTAGGGGTAAAGAGCCCTAATGTCTGTAACTTATTCTTAAGTAGCTACAAAATTCATTTTTATGAGTTATACATATCTATAAAGAGAGGGAGAAAAAAGAGAAAAATCGATAGAGAGGGGAGAATAATAGAGGTAAAATGCTCATAATAGTTGAATTTAGGTAAAGGTGTATGGGTGTTCTTCATTCTTTATATATAGAAATGATTCCACAGTAAAAAGTTTTAAAAAGTACAACAGTATACTATTTTATTTTGCTCATGATTTTGGAGGTCAGGGATGGCTAGCCTGGGTGGCTCTTGCTTGGAATCTGTCATGCAGTTGCAGTCAGTCAAATGCCAGCAGGGGCTGCAGTCAAAAAGTTAGGCAGAGCTGGGTGTCCAAGATATCTCACATGGCTGGCAGTTGATGCTGGCCATCAGCTAGGAGCTCAGCTGGCCCTTTGACTGACATGTTTACTTGTGGCATCTCTAGCATGGCAGTCTCAGGGCAGCCAAACTTCTGACTGTGTTTCTCCTAGAGCAAGAATTCCAAGAGAACAGGTGGAAGCTGCATGGCCTCTTTTGACCTAGTCTTGGAAGGGATAACAGCATCTCTTCTGCTGCCTTCTACTGGCTCCAAGAGAGTCACTAGGTTATGTCCAATGAATTGTCAGTCATGTTCCAAAACTGCCATAAATGCCAAAATGTCAGACGCTGTTATATTAACTCATTTGATTTTTATTAAGAAAAAGAAACACAACACCTCAAAGTAGGTAGTCTTAGCCTTCTTATTTACACAGGTTAAATAAGTTCCCAGCACCACACCATTATGGAAAGAGCTAGGGTTCGAATCCAGTCTGGCCCCAGAACCCATCTCTACTAACTTACATCACCTCTACATAGAGCTGTGATTCCTGCTACATCCTGATAAGCTGCCATACACATAGATAATCCCTTTTCATTCACAGTCAGTGGTAGGCAAACTCTCAATACATTTACAATCATGCGACACAATTCTTACCTTCCTAGCTCTGACTTTTGCATATGTGGTTTCGTTTCCCTGGAATACTTTTATTCCAATGATTTGTCTGCCTATATGATTTAGTATCCAGGTCTTTCAGGGCGCTTTTCCTGACTACCCAGCCCTGGGGTGAGTGCTTTTCCTATGGGTGCACATGCCACGGGTGTCTAGTAGTTACTCTGTTTGTTGTCCTGGCTGTCTCTCCCATTGGACTCTAAGTTTCCAGAGGACAGGGACATTGTTTTGTTTAAGAAAAGGATCTTCAGCAATGTTCCTGGTATGTAATGTACAAATAAGTACTAATCTCTCACACACATACTCCTCAGCTATTAATACATTACTATATAGTTCCCACACATAAACACAGACACTAAGACATTCTCCTGACACACACAAAATCTATCTTATTCACTCTTGCCCAAGCATGCTCCATCACTGTGACTGATTAGTCCCCATGCTCAGTTCCCGGTCACAGTCCCCACACACTGTCACCACCACAAGTTCATCACACACAATTACCGTGACACAGCGCTGATCCTCAATCACTGACACATACTGTTCTTCAATCATGTCACCATCTGCACTCTTAAAACAGGATATTTACCGTATTCTCCTACAAATGGAGTTTAGATCACAGCAGCTCTATTTTTTCACACGTGCCTTCACATACTGTATTCTCCCCGCCCATCCATATAATCCCTGACATACGAAATTATGGAAGAGCTTGTCTTTCTTCCCATTCCCACTTGACACCCTCTCTCACTGGTACTCATGCACTCACCCCAGCGCTGGGTAATCCAGGGAAAGCGCCCTGAAAGGCCTGAATACTAAATGATATAGGCAAACAAATAATTGGAATAAAAGTATTCCAGGGAAACGAAACCACATATGCAAAAGTAGGAGCTAGGAAGGTCAGAATGGTGTCACATGATTGTAAATGTAGTGAGAGTCTGCATACTACTGATGGTCTCAGCTCCCAGGCAGCTCCGGAATCTCGAGCGGCCCCGCCCCTCCCGACCCCGCCCCTCATACATATGCAGCGAAGCCCCCCCCCCCTCATGCATATGCAGCACCAGCCCAGCAGCCCGGCCCCCAGACGGCCATTTGTAGCGGCGCTGGAGGCTGGTTCGGCTGGCGCTGCGGAGCCGTGTGGACTCGCGCGCCCCTCGGTCGCGGCTGCCCCCGGCCCCTGCGGTCACCCCGCTCCTCCGCGCCTCGGGCGGGACTCGGCCAGCCGGGGCGCCGCGCTGCCGCCCGCACCGGCCTTCCCCGCAGCTCCGGGCGCCCGGGACCCCCGCCCGCCCGCCCGCCCGCCCGCTCGCCCGCCCGCAGCCCGCCGGCCGCACACGTCCCCGGAGCCGGGCCTAGGGCGGGCGGCGGCGGCGGCAGCGGCGGCTCGGCGTGGCCGGGCCGGGCTCGGCGGCGTCCCCATGGCCGCGGCCGGCTGGCGGGACGGCTCCGGCCAGGAGAAGTACCGGCTCGTGGTGGTCGGCGGCGGCGGCGTGGGCAAGTCGGCGCTCACCATCCAGTTCATCCAGGTGCCTGGAGCGGGCCCCCCGGGGATGGCGGCGGGGAGGCCGGGGAGGGGGCGGCGCACGGGGGCTCTCGTACCTGTGGCGGCGCGGCCGCCGCGACCCCGCCCCGGAGGCGCCGCGCGGGCGGGCGGGCGGGGGACGCGGGGCCGGTCCGGTCCTCCTCCCCCGCGGCCGCCGCGCTGCGCTCCCGTTCGCCTGGCGCCCCGCTCGCGCCCCGGGAGTCGGGCTTCTCAGGAATGTGGCCGGGAGGGCGGAGCCGGGAGGGTAGGAAGCGCCGATCCACCTTATCGCTCCGGCGGGGGCCCGAGCCCCGAGCCCCGAGCCGAGCCCCGCGGGGAGGCAGCGCCTGGCCGCCGCGCCGGGCTTCCTGCCCGGAGACCCGGGGCGGCGGGCGCGGGGCGGGATGGAGCCCGGCCGCCTCCCGCCTGCCCGGTCCGAGCGTGCGATCCGATCGCGGTGGCAACTTGGCCGCGGGGCCGCGTGGTCCCCGCGCTTCTCGCTGCCCGCTCCAGGCAGTGTGTGCGCCTCTCTTTGTGTGTGCGCGCGCGTGTGCTTTCCTTTTTAAGTGTCCTCCTAGGTAACGTGCCCGGGTGGGAGTGTGGGATAATGCCCCAGGGAGGTGGTGGCTTCGAGGAAGTGAAGAATTGTTCTTCGAATTGGGGGGGGAGGGGGAGACCGTTTGCTAGGAATTCCTGGTGTCTTCCTCCTCCTCCTCCTCCCCCTGGCCGTGCCAAGGTGAAGTTTGGGATGGGCCAGGCTGGGAGGTGACCGACTGACCGACCGGCCGAGCCGAGCCGAGCGGAGCTATGTGTCTGTTCCAACCACCGGCTCCCACCCCCACCCCCAACCCTCTCTGGTAGCTGAAGGCGGAGGGGAAGGGATGGGAAAGAAAAGGGAGGTGGAATTCTTCATTCTTGCGATTTGCTCTGGTGAGAGAGATTCGACTGATCTTTTTTTGGGATAAAGAGAGAGAGAGAGAGAGAGAGAGAGAGAGAGAGAGAGAGAGAGAGAGAGAGAGAGAGACCGACCCAGACCCAGTTATCTCTCTGCTTTTGTGAACCTAAAAGGTGTGGCTTAAGCTATGAGAGAAGGAAGGTATACCTCGTTATAACAAGTAACAAAGATACTCTTCTTGGTCTATCAGTGTGAGTGCTGTTCAGATTCTTTGGGGGAAATATTTATTCCTGGCGTACGTTCCACCCGTTTGTTATCAGTCGTGGCATGAAAAGGCAGAGTACTGACACATACATGTGACTGTTACCTTTCACCTTGACTAAATGAGCAGTCATTGACGTGAGGCTACTTCAAGGTATTTTAAAGACTGCTGCTTCAACCTTTGTATCCGGGAAGAGATGTGCATGTAACGAGCATTTCCAGTGTGCTCATTAGTGGGTTACAAAAATCACACGTACGAGGTGAGACCGGTTTAAGTTGAGCAGGCTGCAGAAGCAGGGACGCCGGCGTGTTGCTGTTCCCCAGGGCTAAGGGAGACTTGCAGGAACCGGTGGCAGAGCAATGGATAGCTCACCCTCTCTTTGGGGGCTGCAGTGAATGGGGCGGGAGGGGAGTTGTCCAGGAGTGAGAGTGATCTTGTGTTCTGAATGTATTTGAATCTGAATGTAAGTGAATGATTCAATTAAGGAATTGGACCCTTTGTTTTTGGAAATAGTATTAGAAACCACGAGGAAAAAGCGGAATTGCTGGCTTTCTGACGATTTTCTAGAATTCATTTGTTAAAGCAGTGTCTCCTTTATGAATAGGAATGTACCTAGGTGCTCTGGATGATGTAAAAGAAATAGAGGACCCATGTATGCTTGAGGAAGACATGCATTTATACGTAGAGAAATAGTGTGAGCTTTGACTCATAGACTTGAATGCCTGGTCTTGCTATGTTACTTATTCACCGTGAGAACATGGCCAAAATAGGTATTTAGCTTCTCCTAGCCTCAGTTTTATCTTCAGTAAAACGGGTCTGATCACATTCTTTATTATGGGAACCTTCTTAGCATTGTGTCTGGCATGTAGTATGTACTTCGGTTAATGATGGCTAGTGTAAGTTTGTGTACAGTTCTGTAATACACTTAAATGCAAAGGGAATCCAGAATCAGGGCAAAGTCCCTTTGTACTTTGATAAAAGTACAATGTACAGTTGATAGTGGGGAGAGAGAACATGTCTTGTGTGAGTATGGGAAGTCATGCTAGCGTTGAGAGAGGAGGCAGTCAGGGAGGGGAGTGTGATTGGTGACTTGGGGCCCGTGAAAGGGAGAAACATGGGTTCTGATTTTGAGGAGACTTTCTGGAAAGTCAGGAGCCAGACCACCTGGAGAGGGTGTTTCATTTTGACCTGTGTATGTGCCTTCCCAGAGTCAAACCTGTCACCTTTTGGTATACAGAACGATGCTCTATCCAGCTCCAGGCAGGGCCGCCTGGATAGAGTGTTAGCTCTGTGTAATCTTAGGCAAATTTTACTGAACCTGTCTGTATCTCAGTTTCCCCATCTGTAAACTGAGGAAATAGGAAGTATGAAGTACCACTCTTAAGAAAATTAAATGAATTCCTGTATGTCAAGAGACGAGAACACTGTCTAGTACACAGTAAAGCTACAGGCATAAGATTATTGATAGATTGTGGAGCTAACATGACTATCATCTTTACTTAATAGAGCTACTATTTATTGTCTGACTCCTGGGAAATTAAAATTCATTCTGCTGTGATTGTCTAGCCGTAGTAATTGGAGAGAGAGGAGACGGCAGAAGGATAATAATCTTAACAAGCGGAAGTCAGTTCTCTTCAGAGGAGATCAGGATGGCTTAAATTGGTTTTATTTATTTTTTAAGACTCCTGAGATTAAAAAAAAAAAGTTTATTTTTAAAATAAGGTTCACTATATATTTTTTCTTTTACAATCTTGAGCAGAAAAAATATAATAAATTGGGGAGTGGAGAAGTTCAAAACAACTTTGCATTTAGCCCTGACTTTAGATTTACATGTTGCCTTCTACACATATGAAGAGATGCAAAATTAGGAAATTAAGGCAATAATTACTTAATTAAGGTGCACTTTCCTCTTTAAAAATGAATATAAATGTGATAAAACGTAAAATTTTATGTTAAGAATGTATGTGTGTATGTGACATTTCTGTTGCTCATAGTTGTATGTGGTTTAAAAAAATATATATATATATTCTTATTGATTTCAGGGAGAGAGAGGGAGAGAATCATTGACCTGGTGCCTCCTGCATGCCCTTTACTGGGGATGGAGCCTGCAACCCCAGCATATGCCTTGACCAGAATCAACCTGGTATTCTTCAGTCCTCTGGCAAAAAAGCTCTATCCACTGACCCAAACCAGCGAGGGCTGCTGTTTATAGTTTTTGGGAAAAAGTTTTAGGTTATATTGGTCAATAGAATACCCAAATGGCTAGTAAACTCCAGCCAAAAATGATCTTAACATTGTACAAAGTGAAGTGGAGAGAGCATTTAATATCTGGGTCCTAGGCCTCCCTACTCAGGTAAAACTGGGGGATATCTTAATCTCCCTAATCTTTTCAAGCTTCAGTTTCTTCATTAAATATCTAGTTTGGTCGAACAAATCTCTGCATCTTTCAAATTCAAGGTCCTTTCTCAGTTAACTAGCTGTGTGTTTTGGGTCAAGATCCTTAGGTTCTCCAAGCCAGTTTCTATATGAAAAGGGAACTAATAGTAGTACTTGAAGGACTTCTGGGAGAAAATGATATAAAACATGCAAATTATTTAGCACAGTGCCATCTACAGAGTAAGTAAATAATTGTTACTTGGCTTTATTTGCTGTTACTTCTCTATCTTGTTCCTCCAAAACAAAATTTATAATTTGTTCATTTTTCCTTGACACATGATCTGGTCTCTTAAGTCTTCAACCCTCTCCTCCCCCTTTCCACCCAACCTCCTAATCCCCTCCTCACTTTTTGTGGTTATTTAGGTGATAAATGTTGACCCCATTTTGAGTTGGGGAAATTCTTTTTTATCACTTGGGGGTTAATTTTGAGAAGTAGTGGAGGAATCATTGGGGTTTTGAGTTAATGCTAATCTAGCAACTTTGAAAAGAGACCAAACATGTTTTCCAGAATTAGAGAGGAATTTCCCAGGTTCTGGTCTTCGATTAACAACATTTTATTCGGCAGTTTATCAGATTTTGAGCTATGTTGGGGGTAGCTGATTTCTCACATACTGAGTTTTAGTCTTGTAATCTGTTAGTCTGGACCTGACTCAGACATTGCTTTTTACCTAAAGTTTGTCTTTTACTGAGTGCTTTTTCATGGCTCTTTCCTGTGACAGATCCTGAAAGAAACTTCAAGACTCATGTATTGGTGTTCTCAATTAATTGATCCACGTGTGAAGGTGTAGATTCCCCAATTGCTGTTCTCTTGCTACATCTTGAAGACATCCTGCAATTATAAATCACTTTAAATTATTTTTATCTGTGAATTTGAAACCATCCTGTAGACTTATTTTTAGAGTGCAATTACTGTTTTACATTTTCAGAGTAATTTACAAATGAATTCTTAGCACTGAAAAAGAAGACATCTCTCCCCAAGGTAGTGGATACTAGAGATTTCCTCATTTTGGTAACAGTTGAAGTGATTCTGCTGGCAATTACTATTGATAGAAACAAATGCTAGGTATTCTAGGAAGAACACTGCCTTCTTTCTTTTTTCTTTTTTTTTTTCTTCTTTTTTTTTTAATGTTTTATTGATTTTAGAGAGAACAAGGGAGAGGAAAGAGAGAGAAATATCAATTGGCAGCCTTCACTCTCCCTCAACACACACACAGTGTGCTACCCTTCTGCCCTGACCTGGAATCAAGTTGGCAACCTCTCTGGGCACACCAAGTGAGCTACACCGGCCAGGGCAACACTGTCTGCTTTGTCTTCTTCTTTTAACAACTTAGGTGTTTTTTGTTTTATTTTATATTTTATTGATTTTTTACAGAGATGAAGGGAGAGGAATAGAGAGTTAGAAACATTGGCC